GACTGATTGGAGCATTGATTGATGCAATGATTGATAGATGCATTGATTGATTAATTATTTTATGCTTTGATTAATCAATTGATTGATTGGTTATTGTATAAAATTAGGAAATTGCAAGACGTGAGAAAGAGTTGGAAGCAACTGTCAGGCAACCAGCTGAAGCAGAAAAGTACAAAGTTGAAAAGCTTGCTGAGGCAAACAGGTACAGTAAAATCATAAACCATTATGATTGAAGTCAAACCAACTAAAGTTACCWTCTCTTTGGTGGCACCCAACTGCTGATTCACCGTAAAATGAATGTCAATCATTTTGCATTCCTATTTTCCTAGAAATCGTGTTGTACTTGAAGCTGAGGCACAGGCAGAAGCAATTAAGGTAAACCTTTTCCATTGTTTTTCAATATGGTAGTGAAACATGTCTAGGATACATGCATTTGATTGACTTAAAGAAAAGTACAATGGTGACATTATATTAAGAATGACCAAAAATCAACACTATTTTGTTGATATGCGTCACACATTCATGTACAGAGCCAATATAGCCTAGTGGGCATCAGCAATCCTTAACCACTCATCCATCACCCTTGCTTTGTTTTACCTTATATCACTGGGTATTGTATTGTGTTTTGCAGGTGAAGGGAGAAGCAGAAGCTTTTGCAATTGAAGCCAAGGCCAAGGCTGAAGCAGAGCAGATGGCAAAGAAGGCTGATGCTTGGAAGGAGTACAGAGAAGCAGCTGTTGTTGACATGGTACTAGAAACACTGCCAAAGGTATGGGATAATAATGTTGATGATGGTGTTCTAGATGATAGTGATAGAGCTCTGAAATGGGCAAATCAAGTGCTCCCCACCTCAATGTTCCTCAACTTGTTTGTCTGGGCAAAAGTGTGCTAATGCTTGAGTCATCTACAATATGTGGGCTTGCTACAGCAATTGGGTTTTAGTTCCCAGCTCTCCTCAATGATTATGAATATTCTCTTTCACAGTTGCCTGCGCCATCTTGAAAGTTAGCCGTGCCTTGACATCAAAGTGAAACAACCATTGAGCATGCAATTATAGATACCTGTGAATAATTGTCTGTAGGTGTGAAAGAAGATTTCTATCATTGCACGCTCAACGGTGGTCTTGTTTCAATGCAAAAACACGGCTACCTTTCAAGATGGCACAGGAAACTGTGAAAAAAATAGTGAAGAACTGCGCCTGCTACTTCTTGGAGTACATATTGTAAAACTATGAAAAACTCATAGTTTCCAGTCCAAGAACTTTAAAAGATTTCTAAAAGATCTGCATCAGTCGTTCTGTACGTGGTGAAAACATAATTGTCAGATTGGCTATGAATCTCTTGAATTATTAATGAGTAATAAGCTTAATCACAATCATTATCACAATCGCAATCGCAATCATTAAATGTTTAATCCTATTATGTGCAGTACATTGCTTATGAAAGATTTAATGACTTGTTTGACAGATTGCAGCAGAAGTTGCAGCACCCATTTCTCAATGCAATAAGATCACAATGGTGTCGAATGGAAAGGGAGAAGTTGGTGCCAGCAAGATCACAAGTGAAATCCTGGATATTGTTGCTAACTTGCCTAAAGCTGTGGAAAGTCTCACTGGTATTGATATCAGCAAGGTATGTACATTGGATATT